AGAATCCTATGATTTTTTGCAAACATTCTTGCGGGTGGTCAAGAGAAAAATGCCAACATTGGTGATTGATTGGGTAAGAGTTCCTTCGACTCAACCAGGTCATTCGATATTTCAGCGAGTATTTTGGGCTTATGGACCTTGTATATATGGATTCAAGAATTGTCCAGGCGTCATGGTTGTTGATGGGACATTTCTTACTGGGAAGTATAAAGGAGTGCTACTCATGGCGAGCTCATTTGATGGCCGGAAGAAGATTTTTCCAATTGCATTTGCCATAGTGGAGAGTGAGAATACTGATAGTTGGCCATGGTTCATACGTCACGTTCAAGGTTTGACTGATCAAAATGATGTATGCATCATCTCAGATAGACATGCAGGACTCTATGAAGCCATGAATAACATCGGAAGAGGTTGAGAGTGGAGGTGGTGCATGCGACACTGTGCAAGAAATTTGCAAAGGAAGACTAAAAGCAGAATTATGTATAAGCAACTATTTCGAGTCGGTAAGCCTTCTTCATTTAATTTTGTTACTTATTTTTAGGTAATTTTGTCATGAATTTATCTAACCCATGTGGTTGATTATTTTGTTAGCCGGAGAAAAACGCTTGGAGAAGTTTGATCGTCAAGTTGAGCAATTTAAGAAGGTGGCCACTGATAGAAATATTTCATGTGATAACTAGGTGGACCAACATCAGATTCGCTGGAGTTTAGCACATGATAACTACAATGGTGGGCGTCGTTGGTCTATCCTGACATCCAACATGGCAGAAAGCATCAATGGTGTTTTCAAAGGTATTCGTGCACTTCCTATAGCTTCTCTTGTGCAACATACCTATTGGCGATTGGTGGAGAAATTCGATAAGTACAGGTTGGAGACAGGAGCAGAAATTAGAAGTGGTCCTTCACAGTACTCCACCAAGTGCGAAGAACTGATGAAGCCGTGGTCACAAAAGGCAGTTGGGCATTCTGTGACAGCTCTTGATCGACGTCAAGGCATCTATGTAGTTCAGACTCCTCCCAACAATTTCAACATGACGGGGTCAAACACACTCACAGTGCACTTTGACGACCCCAACCAGATGGGATTTTGCACTTGTGGGAAATTTCAAGGAAATAAAATTCCTTGCTCTCATGCCATTGCAGCTTGCAACTGAATGGGGGCCAATCCATATAGGTTTGTAAACGACGTCTACAAGCTTGAAACAGTGCTTGCTTGTTATGGGACAAGTTTCACTCCTCTTGGTGAACCTAAGGGTTGGAAGAAGCATAATGACCCTACTCTCCATCCTAATCTGGACATGATTAGAAAGCCGGGGAGGCCAAGATCAACACGAATTCACAACGAGATGGATTGGCCAAGGGAGGGTTCATCACAGCAAGTGTGTAGCAACTGTAACCAAGCGGGACATAATGCATCAACCTATGGTGGCCAAGCAAGTGGGAGTGGGAGCAACCGAAGAGGGAGTGGTGGCCAACGAAGTGCGAGAGGTGGTAGAAGAGGAGGAAGTAGAGGGAATAGACATGGCTGAGAAGTTTGTGCGATGAGAAGCAGATCAGCGGAACTACTGCTCGAAACGTGTGGGACTGGATCACAGTACCGCTGTAGTCCTGACCTCTATGAAAGTACGGACGCCACTGCACACAAGGATTGGTCACATAATTACTCCTAAATTTATAACAAATCAATTAAAACTATTCTATAAAACGAAATGTTATATACTAACCACGAATGTCGTGCACTCGTCAAACAACAGCTTGTACAAGTAGAACCGATCTCCATGCTGACGGGTGTGGGCCGGAAGCCACCGAAGGCCACGTGACACTTCGTCCTGAGTAATCAGCGCACCCGTCACCGCATGTAGTGGTGATGTATGAGGAAACCGCTCCCACGTCCAGATCATCAGCAAGGCGGACCATCCACCAAAGTCACCACCCAGTGAAGAAGATGCCGTCATCTGCAGCGCCGATCTACCCATCTCACGGTACAAGTAGGATAGCACAGCTGCTCCCCAAGCAAACCTCCCCGCTTTGCGCCAATCCTCCACCAAAAGTAGGTACTGCAGGTGAACTGAACCTCCAGACCGATCGGAGAACAAGACACCTCCCATCAGAGACAGCGCATACGCTCTTGCAAACTGCTCTGTCATCTGGGGTGATGCAGAAAGCGGTAGCTCATCGAAAGTCTCCCTGAGCCAAGTAATCCAGATGACGCCGCCACCAAGATCAGTAGGAGCCTGTCCTAACAGTCGAAGACACATAGCCGACCAGTCCTCGTCTGGTATGTCTACTACGACGGCATCACCGTCGATCGCTAATCCGGTGAGTGTCGCAACGTCCTCTAGGGTGATCGTCACCTCACCGAACGGCATGTGGAATGTCGATGTCTCGGGTCGCCAACGCTCTACGAGCGCAGTAATCAAACCCGGATCACCGGTAAGAGGGGCTAGTGGCAGAACACTAGACAAGCCGGCATCGACGAGATACGGCAGGTACAGTGGATTGTATCGAACTAAATTGTCCGTATGGCGAATGTGGTAAGGTCGATCACCAGCCTATAACTAATGCACAAAACTATATTAATTCAATTCCTTCAATTCACCTAATATTTATATTTATATATCTAAACTAAACTTATTCTAATATAATATACTCGTAACTTAATCTAATTCTATTCTTAATTTAATTTAATTCTATTCGTAATTTAATTTAATTCTATTCTATTCTATTATACAGCTAATAAAAAACTATAGAAATAGTTTGAAAAAAACTTACCTCATTTGCCCAAACTGCGTCAATCCGATGGTGACCATGCCCCCAAAGAAGTTCCGGATCATTCGGAGCAGTATCGATTGTCGCAGGTGTTGGTCTCATCGAACAAGGATCGATAAGCCTAGGAACTGGAAAAAAAATATTAGAACATAAAAAAAAAGTCGTCGGAAAAAAAAGTCGCCGCCGGCAAGGACTCACTCCTGTAGCGTTCGCCGCCGCCGTCACCGCCGCCACGCCGGCCTCGCCGGCCTCGGCCTCTTCCTCTGCCGCCGGGGGCCTGCTGCTCGTCGTCCGACATTGCGCCGCCGCTGTAGATGGAGCGCCTTCGCCGAGTGCCGCGCCCCGCCGCCTGAGACTGAGGCCCTGCGCTCTTCCTCTCGGCGTCGCCGCTCTGGTTTCGGCGTCGGCGCTGGGATGGAGGATGAAGGAGGGAGGGAGTGGAGAGGGAGTGTGGAGAGGGATGGTGGTCTGGTGCGAGGGCAGGGAGGGAGGAAGGGGATAAAAAAAACAAAGGTTGATAGCGACGGTGCCACAGTCTCGGGCTTTGGTGCTTTTTGAAATTTTTGAAATTTCAAAAAGCACCAAAGCCCGAGACTGTGGCGCCGTTGCTATCAACACCCTTAAAACTCGATTTTCTGAGTCTCGGGCGCCGTCGCCAACTTCCCTCCATCAAAACACAATATTCTTGTAAATAGTTTTCAAACCACTATATTCGTGGTAAATTAAAAAAAAAAAACAATACTTAGGGAATTTACCCCATCTCTGGATAATGTAAATTATACCCTATTTCGGCAAAGCTCAGGAATCAGGATTTCTGGATCCGAATATGAAGCTTCAGTACACCAACGTGCTTGCTGCCTAGCTAGCTCCGCGTCATCTTCTCGACTACGAAACGTTTCCAAGAATCACACATTTGTAGAACCACAGCTTTCAAACGTTTCCTTAATGACCCAAAGAGGTAAGAATGTCTAATTTCGGGGGGGTTTTTTTTTGGCCTTACAATGTTTTAGTTCCTCTTTTATCACTGGTTCATAGGGTTGGATGCATTTTTATTTTCTAGTGATCTTATGCAATTGATGTCTTCTCTAGATGATGGGTGAACAGTGAACACATTAGATGATGGGGTTAGTTGGCTCGGGTATGACGGTATGTTGCTCGATAAGTCTGATCATACCCTTTTCTTTTTTTCGTTTCCTTCACAATTAGCAATCTTTAGGCAAGCAAGCCATTTAGCCATTTAGGCAGGGTTACAGCATACATGTAAGTTTGGGGTGGGGGGTGGTTCTACTAGTGCACTACTTCTTATTAGATTGAAACAAAGCTAATTCATTAACACCGTAAACAAAATTTTCAATTGAAATAAATCACTTAACCGAACTATTTCCACCTTAAGTCCTATTCGATTGTTTCGAGCAACCGAAGAAGTAGTCATGTTCGGTGGCGGTTTTTCCAGCAACTGAGATTTACATAAGAGTGTAGACATTGAATGTATTTTGTGGTTCTCTCGAAATATGAAAACGAATCGTGATTATTTATTAAAATAACAATTATATTAATCGTTTGTTTCTTACCCAATGAATGAATTATTCGAATATTATTAGTTGATTATTCATATTGGGCCTAACTGTGTGGTTGGCCTAACCGTGTGTGAACCAAAAGGTTTGAAGCTATCCTGTTCTTGCCACGCAAAGACACATCTAATGTTGGATGCAATTGTTGGCATTGTCTTGTTGCTGCAGTGTAGGAGATGCATCATAGTATAGAATGCCACTGAGAAGTGAGAACCACATCGTGTAATTCAAATTTTCCATTCACTTGCCTACGGAGGATTACATGATTAATGGGTTAAAATCATTTGAGAAATTGAGGTTATCACTTAAATGTAAACGTATTGGAGTTAAAAAAAAAAAATTATTTAAGCTATCTGAGCAACCTTGCCCAGCCTACGAGCCAGGTGATATCCAGCCACACCTATAAGGATGGATCAGTTGAATGCTAAATCTGAGGCGGCTAAATGTTCTCAGCCTTTATTACAGTTCGTGTCTGTTGAGCGGAAAGAGTGTCTTGAAATTTTGCAACTGAGCAAATGACGTGAGACAACAGAAAGCACTAAAGGTTCATTACATGCAAGAAGCCGTATCAGACTTGCATTGCACATTGGCAGAAGCAGAAATTTGTGTACCATCAGTTTCCAAAGGCACTTTGCCGGAAAATGGCATGGCGGCGGATGGTCACAACTGACCAGGACTGAGCTCAGCCGCGTAAGGATCTCTCAATAGCTGATGTGGTTGAGACTGCTGAGAGTAATCACCGACATAAGCGGACTGGGAAGAGTGCAGCCGAGCCTCGGCTGACTGCAGTTCGATGTGAGGCAACTGGAAGAAGGACTGAGGCACACTTGCTGCAGGGCTTGCGTGAGCTGCTTCAAGTGAAGCTATCGTCGTTGATCGCTGCTGCTCGCAAGAGCCCCACGACGAGTTGGTTGACAGAAGAGAGAGAGCACGGTGGAGATCCTGTGTAGCATCATCATTCGCGTTTAGCGACATGGTGGATTCTTCCGCCTCGATTCCTGCAATGAAAATGTCAGCCCTTAAGCACGATGCACCTAGCAATATTGTGGTGGATTGAAGTCTAAGAACCGCACCTTGACTTGGATTATCTGTTGCTATCCCTTTTGCCTTTGCAGGCAACAAGCCGTGATGATGAGCAACAGCCATTGAGGAGACTGCTGGCTGACTTGTTGACGGCTTAAAGGAGTAGTCCTTTGTTATTGTGAACTTGGAACCAGAGGTGTCTTCCCAGAACAAATACCCACCTGCCCTTCCTTGGACCAGGGGACTCCTGCTACTTTCCCATCCAAAGCTCATCCTTTGCCTCTCGTCTGCAAAACGAAAAACGGCGTCCAGTTCATAACAGGAATTGAATTCATTCCTAGGCAATGAAAGTACACCATCAGTACCAAAGATGGACGAATGCATCCTCGAAGGATTGAAACGAAGCGACTCCCCCTGTGGCTTGCGACGCCTTGCATTGTGATCAGAGAGCCGCTTTCTGCAGCTCCTCTTCTTCTCATCAAACTCTGACAAGCTATGGAACCTTTGACAAAACCCATTCAAACATACAAGTCAAATATACACTTAACTGATCATTACACAGGTTACAATGATGAGAATGCTCGGAGTGATTTTTACCTGCTGCATTGCTGACAGAACCTTCTTTCCACCCCAGCAACAACCACCTTCGGACACTTTGAATGCCCTTCGCAGACTCTGTGCTTCTTGTGGTAATCCTTGGCCGCCGAGAGATCAAGGTTGCACCCTTCCACCTGGCAGAACACAGCCACACAATTCGACTTCGATCTCTTTGCTAAATTAGCAGCAGCAGCAGCAGCAACAGTAGCAGCAGGCCCAGCCTTACAATTGCTCCCACAGCTCGAGTCTTCGAAATAAGTTCGTTTCCCAAGCTTCAAACCAAGCAGAGGCTCACCTGTAGTATTGATTGGCTTTGCTTCTCCAGTGGATGAAGAATTGGTGATGGAAGCTGACTTTGAAGAGAAAGAAGAACCAGCAGCGAGGCCCAATTCAGAGATGGAACCACCAGAGTTGTCATTGCAGCAGCCTCCGGATGAGAAAAATGAACCAGAATCATCAGCTGCTTCTCTTACCCCATCTTCAAATTCCCAATCTAAGTTACCATCGAGCTTCCTGGGATTCGGATTCTCAGCAGAATTTGGATTGTACATTATGAGATTTTCCCAGTCCCATTGCAATTGAGGCTTGTGATTCCACTCCATCACTGAGACACAAGTCATAGAGAATTTTGACCTCACCACCAGATCCTGCAACCAGAAATGAAACAGGGTACTCTTTTAACTAATCTGACGTATTTCAACAGATGAATGAAACGTGAAGCCCATAACAAGGGATCTAACCTCAAAAGTTTGCAACTTTTCTTCATCCCAGATCTACAATTTCCCTCTAAACTGAATTGAAGCTGAAGCTGTTGAAATCCAAGCTCAAGAGGGTCAAAAGATATCAACTACACTGAAATTATTGAACTAAACCCACAACACCACCACAGCTTCAAATTAGCAGGAACCCATTCAAGAGATTTGCAGATTCCATCCACCAATAAAGAGAAAAAAGCTCCATGATTTCTTCAATGTCAGTAGCTACTGAACTGCTTCCCCACCATCCATCAAGAAAGAAAAGAAAGAAGAGCCCTTTAATGCCAACAAAAGCAGGACCCTTTAACCCACTCCCTCTCTCACTCGCAGGGCCCTCTGCTACAGTGATAGATTTTTCTTATCTTGCTGCTTGCTGTTATTTTCAAAGCGATGCTAAGGGGGAGGAAGAGGAGAGAAATGTTTCACCTTTTTCACTCTACTGAAGCCGGTATGGGCGCGATGTGGAGCTCCTTGCTGTTTCTTTTAACTAGCGAGATGATAATCGTTCATCAGTAGCATGATTTGTATTGAGGGAAGAGACAGAGAGGTGGAGATGTTTTAGTAGGGCCATGCTTCCATAATTCGCCATAAATTGGAAAGGGCGTAAAATCAACAACCCAAGAGAAGCCATGGATGATCCAGGTTTCTCCACATCACTAAATTGACTGTTGAAAAAAGCTTTCCCCTTTTCTCACTGGCCTTTCTTTGGGGTATAGTTGGTTTTCGTTATCATTTTTGTTTCCTCTTTTCTATATTATATTATTATATCTCTCTCTGACTTGAGTCCCCACGGTGATGGACCAGCATTGTGCCGTCCACTTTGAAGCTCAACTACTCTGATGTTTGTTTGCCTTGGGAACAACGTGTGGGGTATATGAAACGTTGACGTTTAATGGAGACGGGGGAAGGAGCTAAGCTAGCCGACGGGAGATGAGATAAGACTTGGAGGGAGGAGCAAAACGACAGAGGGAAGAAAAGGGATATAGATTCACAAATGGATTGTGTTATGTGAAGATGTTGTTGTTTGAGATTTTGAGGTCGTAAGGCATTGATTGTTTTGGACTAGTTAGTAAGTGTTCAAGCCGTAATATGGATTCGTACTTAAAAATTTTCATGCGGAAATCTGAATCAATTCAAAGGATAGCTAAAGTCAGCAATTCCATCAGGTGACAAAAGACCCTCATTTCCTTTATGTGCGCCCTCCGTTAGATGTACACGTAGGTGCGCGATTCCAACCTTGTGAAGTGTTGAGAAACTCGTGATAATCAACAAGATATCACCGCAAACCGCGCAGAAAATTGGTAGACCAGGCCTCTAGCACCATAATCGAATTGCTAAAGTAGTTTTTCGAAAGGTTAAAAAAAAGATGTCCATTCCCCTCATATTTCTTTATTGATTTGAATTGGAGCCGTAGGAAAGGACGAGAACAATCCGCCTCACCAAGAACAATCCGCCTCACCAAATCCGGGAAGCGTTATACTCGACCGATGCGAAATGACATCCCACAAACTAAACAAACAAACAGATTCATCATCGTACGGGGACGGGCATGGGCATGGGGAGAAGGAAAGTTAAAATAATGTTTGCCGACTTTCTTCTATCGCTTTCGTTTTCATTGGCGAGAAAAGAAAATAGAAAGAGAGGGTCTTCTTCTTCTGCGCTGTTCAATCTCTAACGAGAAACTTTTAATTATTACAGTTCAGCAGTTAGTTGGATTGTATTCAATTCAAGGTCGATCATCTACTGTCATAATTAAAAAAAAAAAAAAAAAGGCGAGCTGAAGTAGAAGGTAAGAACAAACCAATTAAAGGGCCACCAGCTGATTGCAGGAGGCCTTGCCTTGGCTTCTCTCTGCAAATTTCCACTGCCAATAAATGCATGCTATTGCTGTTGTTGCAGTAACTGCCTTTACTAGCTGTAATTTTGCATGCATGGACACCTTTTTTCACTGCCTTTACCTGCTGTTATTATTATGTTTTGTTTTTAACTTATCAGTTTTCTTTCTGTATATAATTTGGCCATTTCCTCAGACCTCAATTGCTACTTGCTAGGGAATAATCCAAGAATTAATTGCTGTTGGCTTCTTCAGTACTCGTCAGATTGATTGGCTACAGTGTCATTGACAGCCTCGTTGGGAGGTTTGTTCTGCTTAAGTTGGCGATTTACACATCTAGAGTTTGAGCTTAGCTAGTGTTCAATATGGGTGCATCCGAGCGAGTTCAATTTTCAATGTTCATATTGTTAACTCACATAACTCTTTCGATGAGTAGATGTTATAAAAAAAAAAAAAATCATTTCTCGTCGCTCAATGAGACCAATTAGGTTTCGGTATGATATTAGAGCCTATAATAATCAAAATGTCATGCATTCGAATTTCAATAATCCATAATATTTACAGTTGATCAAAGCAAATAATATGAGAGGTTTTTGCAAACGTCAAACTCATTATTCTATTTCTGTTTGAGGGAGTGCGTAAAAAGATAGTGATAAGATTTATTATTCAATTTCACCCAAATAACTCACTGTTGATGTGACTTGAATCGAACTATCAGCTGCTACGACTGGTAGTCGGGGTCTCGCTGCCCGGTCAGACTGGATTAGGTTTAGACCCACATGGAGAAGTACTATAAATACTTAATTCTCATACTCCTATGTAATCTGTAATCTCCTCGATATAGTGAAACTGACTCTCTCTCGCCCGTGGACGTAGCTAACACACATCGTGTTAGTGAACCATGTAAATCGTGTGTCTGTTTTTTTCGATTCTCGCTTTCGTATTCTTGCTTTATCGATTCTGGCAATTTCCCGATCCGTAGCAGCGCGTTTATAACACTCGCAGTTTCATTCTTTTGAGAATATTGTTTCTCATGGTTTTTAGTAGCCAGCAATATTATCAACAGTGATAGCTTAATGCGCAAGCAATTTATTACTATATTCTCCCCAATTGGTTCAACCGTTATTATTGTTAAGGGGATTCCTAATTATTATTACTAGATAATTGGCCCGAGCGTTGCTTCGGGATCTTGTACAATTTTATTTTTGAGATTTTTTTATATGTTGTGATATTTGGCTTTGTAAATGAACATTTTATACTTATGGTCTAAATTATTGAAGGACCAAATCATTTATAATATAATGAATTATGCAATAATTTGATTGGATGTAATGCATATGTGAAATGTAGGAAAATGAACTTTGAATTATAGAATGAATAAACCTAATTCGTTTTGGTCACTTCTCTCATACATTTCATATTCGAATGCGTTGAAACGAATAAAATATTATCAAATGCTTAGTTTATAAATATTCTACGCAAATGCTAAACAATAATAGTTTTTTTAAGACTCAAATACATATGTACATGATAGTCATGTGTTTTTTTCAGTTTTCTGATACATTTCAAATTCGAATGAGTTGGAACGAATAAAATATTATCAAATTCTAAATTCATAGAAGCACAAAAAAAAGAGGAAATGTCATAATTAGATAGTGTTTGTACCACATAGATTTGTTATTTACTCGTTAATACAATTTTAGTAGAGAATGGTGCATATACAATTTAAATACTATAATTTTAAGCATTAATCCCATCAATTTAAACTGTGATACTTATCATCTGCTTTACTAATCTCCACAATTAGCCATTATAACCCATGCAATTTTTGCCTTGCGTGGCTCTTATTCATAATTAGCCATTATATAATCTCATCCCTGTGGATAACATGAATATAAGACGGTACCATATATCATTGGGTAGTCTGTACTCTGTACATATGGGGGTTATCAATTAATTAATTAAGTAAGTAAGGAAGCAAGAAGGTGAATAAGGAGGCAACTAAAATGAAGAAAGGTGATAAATGGGCAAGCAAAGTTGGGTTATTTAGTTACACGTGTAACCTTCATCTCATGCAGCAAATGAACATCATCATCCTCTTGATTTCCCTTATCCTTTTCCCTGTTACCCCATTACCTTTTGTTGCTCTCTCTTAGTCATCCCAAAGATCTTCTTATGCATTGGATAGAGATAGCGAGAGGAAGAAGAATGTGAAACTTTGAGTAATATTTTCCCCTTTATTTCTAGGGCTACCTCCCCATTCAAGTGAGGTATCAGTGTCACACGAATGATCACTATGAAGGAGATTAAAAAAAAATAGATATTGGCAAATTAAGCTCAGTGTGTTCTCTTCTTCTTCGCATGCAACTTTGGAGCATCAGAGAAGGATTCCCAGTGCAATTGTAGAGTTGGAGGTTAGTTGAGTTGGGTTCTACATGTTTCCTATCTAGGTTTTTGAGAGCATCTCAATGTGAGAATGACAATTCGAGCTCTGCATGTTAATTTCCATCACTCTGGCCACCATCGAATCATCGGAGGGAAAGCGTTCTTCTCTCGGATATGGAAGGGAAATCGGCAGCAAACAACTTACACATCTGCTGGCTGGATCCCCAGCTTATATTGTATCTAATACCCTCCATAGAAATTGGGAGGATTACGTTCACTTCGCCGGTCCAACTTGCCCAGCCGTCAGGGAATCGTCGGAGGGGATGAAAGGGAAAGAATGAAAGGGAAAGAAACGGGTTTAAGGGCTAGCGTGGGGGTGCACCAAGCTTAGGGTAGACTCGCCCGTATCTGCCCAGACCCCTTAAGTATGCTTGCCGATTAATTATACTAATTATAATAAACAGACACCCTAATTGATAATTGCCCACTAGAAGGTTTGAACATGATAATAAACAGACAAATTGAGCAAAAGGAATATAATTAAATTATTGTACCATGTTTCAGAGAATCAACCTGAATCATTTGTCGGGATAACAAGCCATAACCTAGATGCCAAATAACACCAACTAATATAAGCACCCATCATTCATGTGGGTAAATGGATAGGTTAAGGAACGGAAATGGCTCCACAAGTGGTTATTAAAGAATGTTTAATGTTTTGTTTAGTTCATGTGACCATTTTTTGAGGGAATAGTTCATGTGACCATTAACATAATGACTAATGAGTTTTTTTTGTTGTCTATTCTTCAGTTTTCGATTTTGCACTATCTGACTCTGACACAATCAATGTTTATGATGCAAGAATGAAGGGAGCCATGAGCATACTAGCCATTTATTCCAGTTTAGAAGCCTCCTCCAACAGGATTGTTTTGTTAGAATTTCTCACAATTATAATGAGATAAACTCTATAGCTTAATGACGGACTCACATGAATTTATCTATATGCGTTTAGATTTACATTTTAGACGGATCCTACTGTTTGATATATACCATATATCTATATAAGATGCTTCTACGGTACCACGAATAAAATCTGGGATATCATATACATGGAGTATGAAAATGCTATATAGATCTCGAATTAGCAAATTTTTGGACCTGATACTATACCCTTATCCTTACTGAGTGAACCCTAAGTTCTAATTATCTAAATCATAAACTATAAACCCTAAGATGGTGCATTCATTTTTTGCTTCTATTTGGACGAATCATAACCGTCGATTATTGTTTCTAATTAAATAGATATTGGGGTATAAGAGAGAATTTAGACCTAGATTTTGATCTTTATGGTTAGAGTACACTATCATGTCCGAAAGATCAGTCAATTCAAGGTCTGGATAGCTTTTTCATAATCAAGATATGCGGCACCCCGGATTTCACCTTGGGTACCGTAGAACTCGCTATATATATGGACTATGGTGGCTACTTCGGTGCACCCACTATTTTGGGTGCACTGAAT